ATTGTTTGATACATCAACAGACTTGCAGCCTGAGTGTCATTGGTAGTGAGTATGTGCAGCCTTTGGGGTGCTGGGCGTGCCACCAACGTGTCCTTCCTAGACCCGCAGGGTGTGGATGAAACAGCCCACGCTGCACTGTCACAGAGCAGGGGCCCTGAAGCACCTGCTGCACATGGTGAGCACTTGAATACGAGGTCGTGCGAACACTGACTCTCAAAGATGCTGCATAGAATCAGTCCAGCGTTGGGGGGATCGCCTCACCTGCTTGCTTTCTGACACTTAGAGTTCGACAGAGTATTTCCAAAATGGAAGGTCTGAATCAGAGCCAGTGCAGATGTGGGTCATGAGGAGCAGATAGGCCTCTCAGCAGGACCCGTCTTAGTGGATTAGATGGTTAGCGCTGAGTCAGCTCCCGGAGATTAGCAGTGACTGTGACCCAAGAGGGGCCTGATGGTGGGGTTTCCAGAAGGCTTTGGGGGACTAAGGATAGTGAAGAGAAAAGCAAAAGCAAGTAACTGTAAGTAAGACTTTTCTTTTGTTTTTTTGTTTTTTTTTTAATCCTCACTCGAGGATATTTTTCTGTTTATCTTCAGATAGAGTGGGAGTGGGAGGGAGAGGGAGAGAGAAGGAGAGAGAGACACAATGACTGGTTGCCTCCTGTACTACCCCAACCGGGGCTGGGGACGAACTGCAACCAAGGTACGTGCCGTTGGTTGGAATCGAACCCGAGTCTCATTGGTCTGTGGGCCAACGTTCTAACCGCTGAGCCAAACCTGCCAGGGCAAGCAAGACTTTTCAACGTACCTGAATGGTTGTGTATAGAGCGCACTCTGCCGATATGGAAGCTAAGAGAAAAACATGACCAGCAATTCTAGTGAGAATGATGTTAGTCTTTTTAAATCTTAAAAATGAGTATATTTTGGCCCTGGCCGGTTTGGCTCAGCGGTTAGAGCGCCCGCCTGCGGTCCGGAGAGACCCGGGTTCGGTTCCCGCTAAGGGCATGTACCTTGGTTGCGGTTTGTCCCCGACCCTGGTTGGTTGTGCGGGTGGCAGCCACTCGATGTGTCCCTTTCACGTCGATGTTTCCCTCTCTCCCTCCCTCCCACTCTGTCTGTATAAAAAATGGAAAAATGTCCTCGGGTGAGGATAAAAAATAAATAAATAAATAAATAAATAAATAAAAATAAATAAATAAATAAAAATGAGTATATTTTGTTCTTTTAAAATAGCTACAGTTATCCCTGGCCGGTTTGGCTCAGCGGTTAGAGCATCAGCCCGCGGACCAGAGAGTCCCGGGTTTGGTTCCTACTAAGGGCACATACCTCAGTTGCAGTTTGTCCCCGGCCCCAGTTGAAACATGTCGATGTTTCTCTCTCTCTCTCTCTCTCTCTCTTCCTCCCTTTCTCCCTCCTGCTCTATCTGAAGATAAATGCAAAAATGTCCTCGGGTGAGGATTAAAAAAATAAAATAGCTACAGTTATTACAAATTTATTTCTATTTACCAACTGATTAGGTTTCTGACCACCTTCAGCATTGTTCAGTAGTCTGTAGGAGTTCACCTGGTGAAGGTGAATATGAACTGGCTTTTTCACTGAAGATCTGGAGAAGAAAGTGTGAATGCTTCTTGGTTCCAGGGCCCAGATAAGCTGTTACTGTTTTTAGAGAAAAAAAAAAATAGATATGTAAAATAATGTGAAAATAAAGGCTGCCCACTATCACTGTATCTTTCTCCAAAAATAACCACTAGTAACATTTTCTTGTGTCTTTATGGACACAGAAAGAAAGGCTTCACCCCTTTTTTTTCTTTATTGGTTTTATAGAGCGAGTAAGGGAGAGGGAGAGAGAGAGAGAGAAACATCGATTGGCTACCTCCTGCGTGCCCCCCACTGGGGATCCGGGCCCACAACCTGGGCATGTGCCCCAACCGGGAATCCAACCAGCTACCTCTTGGTACTGGGTCAACACTCAACCAGTGAGCCACACCTGCTGGGCAGGCTGCGCCCTTTCCACACTGTTCTGTGCCTTGTTCATCTCGTGTCCTGTTTTCACAGAGGGAGCACTGGGCAGTGCCGCGTGTCCGTGGGGAGGAGAAGGGTTCCCAGGGAAGCGGAATCTCTGGGAGCACGACGGCCCCGTGTCCTGTCATGGTTGTGGTGTCCATCTCTCACGCGTGTCCTCCAGGGCCAGCAGAGTGTCTGTTAGCTCAGGACCAGAGGCTATCCCATGGATGTGCATGCACCCAGCAGGTGGCTGGGCAGTGCCCCTGGGTGACTTTGGGCAGTGTGCTTCCTCAGTGAGGTCCATCCACACAAAACCTCTTTTCCAGATTGATTTTAGGAAATGCACCTTTGACATGAGAATAGAGAATTTAATTTTTTTTAAAAATGTAATGTCCAACAACAGGTTGGTCTCTCGCCAGACTGTTTATAATAGATCAAATAGGGCCTTACAGGACACTTATTTTTCTACTAGTAGAAATAGGAGTACAGCTTTTCTTAAAAATTAACAAATGTGGAGTTTGAATCTCTTCATTGAGACTCAGATGTGAGCATCATTGATGCTATTTACTAATGAAAGAGAAATAGGTCTGCTTGTTTGCTGTGGTTCAGCTGGGGATCAATCAGCCAGTGCTGGCATCACCGCTTCTGAAACACTGTACAGTGGGGCTTCTCGGTGTGGGGCACTCGGGTTCCTGAGGGTTCACTTCTCTGGCCTGAAGTTACACACACAACAGTGACTAAATGTGTATCATTTGTGACACACGGAAAGAACATCCAACTGAAGGAGATGTTTAACCTGACATCTCAGAGGTCATCTCTCCTAACGTTAGAAGTTGGGTCTTGCCTTGGCCAGTTTGGCTCAGCGGATGGTGTCAGCCTGAACACGGAAGGGTGCTGAGTTCTTCGATTCCAGTCAAGGGTTGCAGGTTCTGTCCCTGACCCTGCACAGGGCGTGTTCAGGAGGCAAACAGTCAATGTATTGCTCTCACATCGATGTTTCTCCCTCCCTCCCTTCCACTTTCTCTGAAAAATCAAGGGAAAAATACCCTCAGGTGAGGATTAACAACAACAACAAAAATAGAAGTTGGGTCTTTACCTGAGACCCAGCATCTCAGAAAGCACTTTCTTTTACCTAGATCTTAAGGAGTTTGTTGTTTTTAGTCCTCAATTTAAAAATTACTTTAGATTTTTAGTGTTTTAATTAGGATCAGAAGTTATTTGACTAAAACTAACCATTTGAGTCCGTGCACCTCATGAGGACTTTGGGGTGTCTCTCTCCACGTTGCCTTTGGAAGGGCTGGGTAAAGGAGCCTCTTGCAGACAGAACAGCTGTCTGATGGGGGGGTCCGGGGGTAAAAGCCATGCTCTGCAGAGTGCCCGGGCTGGCGGGAAGCGCAGGCGTCCCTGTGCCCGACAGGACATTACAGCCTTTTGTTTAAAAATGATTTCCTATTCTCTTAGCACTGTTATTAGTTTGTACATTAACATCCACAAATCGCTATCCTTAGAGTTTAGTGCAAACAGGAGAGAGAGTTTGCTAGTGAGTCATAGGGCACAGTCTGCTCAGGGCTCTGCTCCAGGATGGGAGCCACAGGTGCCCTGCATGGGCTGAGCTCCCTTCGCTGCCCATTTCACTGTTGCCTTTTGAAGCAGCTGTTCGGATCAGAACTATTTCTAAGACCATAAAGACATGTGTTGCTTTCCCAGAGAGCCCTGCCCTCTGCTGTGTCCTGCTCACTATGCCCCACCCGCCAGGCCTTGGCGGCAGGGCTGCGGGTACCGGGCCTGGTCAGCCTGAGCTGCAGGACTGTGGTGTTGGTTCTCAGTCTGCTGGGATCCCGGGGCCCCTTTTTTTTTTTTTTATTTTATTTTATTTTTTTTTTATCCTCACCCGAGGATATTTTTCTATTTTTTGTACAGATAGAGTGAGAGGGAGAGAGAGGAAGGAGAGAGAGAGAGAAACATCGACGCGAAGGGACACATCGAGTGGCTGCCACCCGCACGACCAACCAGGGCCGGGGACAAACTGCAACCGAAGTACATGCCCTTAGCGGGAACCGAACCCGGGTCTCTCCAGACCGCAGACCGACGCTCTAACCGCTGAGCCAAACTGGCCAGGGCCCGGGGCCCCTTTTGATGGGAGAGCACTTTGTCCTTGCACCAGACGCCGGCTGGACACCACCTTGAGTCCTTAGGGCTGCTGTGCGAGCCAACATCTGGGCAGTCGTGGGCTTGAGGCCATTGGTGTGGCTTCCAGGGGCCGGGTTGTCAGGCCACCACTGTACCCCACTTTCTGGCCTGGCTTTTCATGTGAGAGCTATTCTAAATGTCTGTTTCAGCTTCTTGGGGTCTCTAGTGAGACCCCAGCTCCTTCTTGAAAAATGCTTAACAGATTTTTCCTTTTTTGACCCACTACCAAGTTATTGAAGAATATAAACTGTATTAATACAGCCCTTGCTAGACATTTTATATGTTCTGATGAATGTTAAACTCTCTGATTTATAATGAAACCATAACTCTCAGATTTTTAATTTCCTTTTCTCGCCTACTTCATTAATTACTTGGCCATTGTTTATTTACTTTCTTTTAATTAGCTTTTTTTTATTCCTCACCAGAAGATATTTTTCTACTTATTATCATATAGAGTGGAAGGGAGGGAGAGAGACAGAGAGAAATTGATGTGATAGAGCCACATCACACGACCTGACCAAGGCTGGGGATGAACTGCAACCGAGGTACGTGCCCTTGACCGGAATTGAACCCACGACTCATTGGTTCACGGGCTGACGCTCTAACTGCTGTATCAAACTGGCCAGGGCTGTTTTTATTTTTCAGAGAGAGAGAAACATCAATGTGAGAGAGCAACGTTGATTGGTTGCCTCTCACATGCATCCTGACTAGGAATCAAACCCGAAACCTTTGGGTGTACATGACGATGCTCCAACTGAGACACCTGGGGGTGCTGCTTGTCAACTTTGTGTGCTTGTGTTTCTGTTGCAGACCCAGTTCCTTGAGGCGGCATTGCAGAGCACCACGGTCAGAGATGAGTGAGCTGGACCAGTTGCGGCAGGAGGCCGAGCAGCTGAAGAACCAGATCAGAGTACGTAGCTGTACACATGTTCGGTCCTACTGGTCGCCTGCATTTCAGCCAGGGGTTACCCGCTGGAGGGGAGGATGTTTAGGACTGAGAGTGAGTCTTCACTGGCCCAGGATGTACTAATTGCAGATCCCATTATTTGGCCTAGTTCATTTTCAGGATTTTGTTTTCTAGTGAGTGTTTCATTATGTGCATATGTGAAAGTGTTTCCATATGATTTATAAATATCTGTACATTTTTTCTTAACCTTGGAATTAGCTTTGTGACATTCTTTTGATCATTGTATATAGAGTGTGGTGTTGGCCTCCCTCCCCTGTGACTGTTAAGTTGAGGGCAGGAGACTTGTTTAAAAATAAGAGTATGGCCCAGCCGGTGTGGCTCAGTGGTTGAGCATCAACCCATGTCCCAAGAGGTCGCCAGTTCAATTCCTGGTCAGGGCACAGGCCCAGATTGTGGGCCTGATCCTCAATGGGGGGCATGCAGGAGGCAGCTGATCTGTGGTCTCTATCATCGATGTTTCTGTCTCTCCCTTTCCCTTCCTCTCTCTCTAAAATCAATATAGAAAAAAATAATTTTTTTAAAGAGTATTATCAACAACAATAAGTATTTTAGATGTGCGTGATTTGTTCTTAAATTTGAAAAGAGGTTCTCTAGGGTAAGTCATTGGTGTCAACAGCTTTTATAGGTTGTGAGAGCAGAGACATCTAATTGAAAATGAAACTGCCTGTACAAAGGCCAGCGTCCACAGAGCTCTGAGCACTCAGTGCAGTGTTACGCGGCAGAGCCAGGCGTTTGAGGAAGGGAGGAGCCGTGGGTTTAAAAGGAATGTGTTCTGCCCGGCCGGTGTGGCCCAGTGGATAGAACATCTTCCCAGGGACAGAGGTCCCAGTTCCATTCCTGGTCGGGGAACAGGAGGCAGCTGATTGATGTTTCTCTCTCTCTCTAAAAAATCAATTAAAAAAAAAAAAGGAATGAGTTCTGCTCTTCTCCAGTTGAGTGAGGCAGTGCTTTCAATGAATCCCTGCGAGAGAAACATTGAATACAAGTAAATGTTCCTGTTCTCAGACTGCTGGGAGGAGGAGAGGAGAAGAGGTGGACTTAACAGAAAAGACGTATCCTCAATATATGTGGGTAGATTTCTGTTTTTTTGGACGAAGGAGCCTTCTCTCTGACAGTGTGGTTTCATCCGTAGGCTCCAGCCATCAGAGTATCACTTTTCAACACGTGTCCAGTTTTCTGAGAGCACTGGAACAGTGGCACCTAATTGTTTACTTTTAAGTGACCAGTTATATTCAGACGGCCTGGTGGTAACTGGAGAAAGAGGCACCCACATTATTCTAGCTGCTTCTTTGTGAACTTGAGAACAGGTGACAGGCTATCTGAGCTCCACAGCTGTGGAGGGAGCGGGGGTGTCCTGCTGCGAGAATCAGAGCTTCCTGCATGAAGAGCTGCTGCTGCTCAGCAAGAACAGGACTGTGTGTCTGACTCATTCTGATCACCTTGTACCATAGGTCTGTCCACCCTCCAAAACAAAGAAGTCAGAATTTTGTTTCTCTGAAACTTTGAATTGTTCATAAATAGCAGGTTCAGATCTCTTCAGATAAGAAAGTGTGTGTGGCGCAGGTCAAAGACATCACCTTTGGTTTTTGTTGTGTTTTTTGTTTTTGTTGTTGTTTTTAATCCTCATCCGAGGACATTTTTCCATTTTTTGTACAGATAGAGTAGGAGGGAGAGAGAGGGAAACATCGATGTGAAAGGGACACATCGAGTGGCTGCCACCAGCACGACCAACCAGGGCCGGGGACAAACTGCAACCGAGGTACATGCCCTTGGCGGGAACCGAACCCGGGTCTCTCCGGACCGCAGGCGGACGCTCTAACCGCTGAGCCAAACCGGCCAGGGCTGTTGTGTTTTTTTTTAAATCCTCACCTGAGGATATTTTTCTCTTTATCTTCAGATAGAGTGGGAGGGAGAGAGAGAAAGGGAGAGAGAGAGAAACATCAACGTGAGCGGGACACATTGACTGGCTGTCTCCCACATGATCCCGACCAGGGCCAGGGATGAACCGTAACCGAGGTACGTGCCTGTGGCTGGAATCAAACCTGCGACTCATTGGTCCGAGGGCCGATGCTCTAACGCTGAGCCAAACGAGCCAGGGCAAAGGCATCACCTTTGGAAGAATGGAGGCTGGAAGTCGGCGTCGCCCCTCTTCCCTGTCTCAGATCCCACGCCAGGTGGAGCGCACTCGGTCCTCCTGGGGACGGGGCTATCATGTTGGCCATGTGTGGAACTCACACATGTAAAAAGAAACAGGTAGAGTTAATTTTTAACAAACTGTATCTAAACCAACGTACCTAAAATACCACTTCAACATATACTTAATTTTTTATTTTACATTCTCTTTTTGAACTGGGTCTTGAGAACTCAGTGTGTCTTACATGATCGGCACACCTCTGTTTGCACGTGCCATGGCCCCCGGGCGTCTGGTTCCCATGTGGGATGTTCCAAGGGGAGCTGCTGAACACTAGCCTGCCCCGTCCCCACGGGCATTTGTCTCCAGAGCTGGTGCTGTGCAACTCTCTAGGCCCGGCACAGGGACGGCCAGGGCTGTGCACCCTCACACTGCGGAAGGGAGGACTCTCCTTTCAGACGGAAAAAACACCCTTGTTTCCTGATTTCACAAGACATACAATTTCTTAAAGCGTGTGGGGCACAGTGAACAGAAATGGTGACTTTGTGTGGGGGCTGCTTCCTCCCTCAGGTTTGCTTTTAGTTGAGCAACCCCAGAGGACTGTCTCATCCTTTTTCATTTTTGTATTTGTGAGGAAGCGTTCGGTCTCCAAGGGATGAATATCTGACAGTACACGGGCTAAGTGACGATGAAGAAAAATACCATGAAATGTACAGGTGCAGGCTTTTTAGGAAGTGACTGTGCCCACCTGTGCAGGTGAGCAGCACTCGCTGTGGGACGGTCCCGTGTTGCAGGCAGTAGCCAAGAAGAGTGGGAAGAGAGCTGACTGGTTAATAGCTTGGACATAGTCCTCTGATTTAAGGGGCCTAGAAGGTGAGCTGTCACCTTCCATGATGTTTCTCCTCGCAGACAGTGCACGGCCTTTGCACTGCACACTGCCTGTTGTGCACGTCTCCGACCTCTGTAGCCCGGGCTGAAACTGGGAGGTTGGGGTCTCGACTGTCAGCAGCTGCAGAGCCTGTCCCTCCCAGGGCTCCTGCCCCTTGAGAAGTCAGGTGCTTATCCCGAGAGACGAGCACTTGCTTAGGCCCTTGGGCTGACGTGGGAACTGGGTGGGAGTCATCTGTGCTCAATTTCAAGTGCTCTTTCTGTCAATCAGTGGTGTCCCCACAGTCTTAGGTGGTGCCTGATTTTTGGACACCAGCTAGGGGAGGATTGCATAAGTCCCATGGTGTGTCTTTTCAAGTAAAAAATTCTTGCTGTTTTTTCTTAAAATTAAAAGCCACTGGTAATGAGAAGAGTGTTCAGAAGTAGGTATCAAGCTTGGTGCTTGGCAGGTAGATGGCGCTGATGAAGGGCCTGCTACCCGGGCCTCCCCCCACCTCCTCCTCACCCCAGACTTGGGTGACAGACGTGCTTGAGTGCACAGTGTTTTGTTTTTGTGTTTTTTTGTTTTGTTCCTCCTTACCTGAGGATATTTTTCCATTGATTTTTAGATAGCGTGAAAGAGAGGGAGGGGGAGAGAGAGAAACATTGGTGTGAGAGAGACACATCAATTGGTTATCTCCCACATGCACCCTAACCAGGGCTGGGGATCGAACCTGCAACCCAGGTAGATGCTCTTGACCAGGCATCAAATCCGAGACCCTTTGGTGCATGGGCCAACATTCTAACCACTGAGCAACACCAGCCAGGGCTTGTCTTTTAATTATATAACTAATTGAGCAGCATTAATTAAGCAGAATGATATACTCACATGATTCAAGTTGGAACCTAGATCTCTGGGACTTTTATAATAATAATGTCTTTGAATATGTTCCATGTTCTTGGTTAGCAAATATCACACCAGCTTCCTGGAGTAATAATAATTAGCAGAGAGGCACCTGCCCCTCAAGGACGGTTTCCTGGGACCCTCGCACCAGTGCCGGGGTATGTGTAGAAGCCACCACGTGGCCAGTGCCGCTGTGAAAGCACCTGGCCAGGTGACTGCATAACGGAAACACTTTTTTTTTTATTAGATATTGTCATAGTTTTCTTGGAAATTATTTCTACCCTCACATTTTGGCCCCTTTAAAGCTATTGTCCTTTCAAATGTATGGTTGCTGTTTGTAAAATACATAAACTGATTTGAGATTTCAAGATTTTGTTTTCAAGTGACTTTGAGCACTTTGGGACAGTGAAGCATTTTTATTTATGGGTTTGTTTTTTTTTTTTGGTTAATCCTCACCCGAGGATGTTTTTCTTTTTTTTTTTAAGATAGAGTGGAAGGTGGGAGGGAGAGAGAGAAAAACATTGATGTGAGAGAAACGCATTGGTTGGTTGCCTCCTGCACAACCCCAACAGGGGCCAGGGATCGAACCTGCAACCCAGCTACGTGCCCTTGTCTGCGAATCAAACCCAAGACCCTTACGTCCGCTGGCTGACGTTCCAACCACTGAGCAACACTGCCAGGGCCCATGAAGCATTTTCATTAACTTTAGTGTGTCCTTTATAGTTCTCACCTGCTTCACAAGGTCATTTCCTAGATAAGAGCATGGGCAGCAGAACAGCCCAGAAGTCACACCGGGCCCTTTGCTCATTTCTGTAGATCCAGCATTGTCTGTTGTTTGGTTTGAAAATAAGAGTTCCTAGTTCATGCAGTCCAGAAGAATAGTTCTTTGGGCCGGACATCTAGTGCTTTTCAGACGTTTTTCTCTGGGCCCCCCAGCTCCTGAGGTGTTAAAAGACAGAGGGAGATGTGTGTGCAGGTCTCTGGAGATACGAGGTCTGTGCAGACAGGCTGGGGCAGTCCCTGGCTCTAGGGTTCTCCTGTGCTGCCCCGCTCCCAGTGTGGTCGTTGTGCCATGCAGGCCTGGCACACTTGATCCCGGTGCTCTGTACTGAGTGTGGTCTGGGGCGCAGCTGTGGCTTGCCTGGACAGTCCACACGTGGCCCTGAACGTGGATGTTGCAGGACCGGGTGGAGGAGCCTCTGTGGTTCCCAGTCTGTCCCTGCAGTGCACAGGTGCTCTGTGGAGCTCTGGTGGGAGGACCTGGATGGGCTGTCTCTGAACCCGACTGATTTCCTCTTGTCGTTGTTATCTCTAGGATGCCAGAAAAGCGTGTGCAGATGCGACTCTCTCTCAGGTAAGAGCCATTTGCACAGTTGCCTGCCTGGCACCGAGGTGGTGGTTCCTCCCCCCGGTCTCTGGGATGGACTCTGCCAATTTCCTGCGCAGCGAGGGGGAAACCCATGCTGGGAGCGCATTTGCGCACAAGGCTCTCTCATGCTCTGCTAGGAAGTAGTGTGTTTAGGATTAAAAATAAATCTCTCCCAAGCCTTAAATAAGTTTTTGTTATTGTAGAGGTTGGAGTTGTAAAATATCAGTTTTAAAATAAGGTGTTTTGAAGCTTTTCTTCTTTAAAAAAATGTGCCTGAGAACTTTTATTTCTAAAGTTAAATTGGGCAGATCCTCAAAGTTTAACCTAAATGAGGACTCAGCAGTTCCCTCCCAGACAGAGCCAGTGCCGAGAGGAGCACACCCACCACAGCTCTCACAGCACCTGCCAGGCCCCGAGGTGGGAGCAGCCCGGGGTCCATCGGGACAACAGGCAGACAGGGAGGAAGCAGGCAGGGACAACCCAGCTGGAGGGAGGCGCTGGCTCTGACGCCAGTACAGGTTGGATGGACCTCGGGATGTGGTGCTGACAAGGATATTCAGACAGGCCAGTCCCTGGAGACTGAAAGTAGAGGCTTGCAGGGTTGAGAGGGCAGGGAGCGGGTGCTTAGGGACTGGGGGGTGGGAATGCACATGGTCCACGTGCAGTCCCACTGGGTTGTGTGCTTAAAGTGGGGTTTCAGCTCATCGGAACAAGCAACGTTTTTGCCCAAAGAATTAAACAGAAATGCGGAAAATTTTTATTTCTACTGAGGAGGATTAATTTCTTGCAATGTTCTAATATGTTAGGGCAGCAATTCTCAACCTGTGGGTCATGACCCCTTTGGGGGTCGAACAATCCTCTCCCAGGGGTCGCCTAAGACCATCAGAAAACAAAATTACAGTTATGAAGTAGAATGAAAATAATTTCATGGTTGGGGGTCACTACAACATGAGGAACTGTATTAAAGGTCGTGGCCTTAGGAAGGTTGAGAACCACTACTTTAGGGGATGGACTTTAATTGGGGATTAAACAATAAGTTAAAGAAAAATTGTACTGATAGAAGGACCTGAATGCGAATTCTGAGCCGCACTCTAGACTGCACGGGTTCAGGCCGGGCCTGCTGCGCTCACTCCCTCTGCTGGCCCCAGCGCTTCCACGCAGGGCCCCGTCTGGGGCGGTGTGCGTGTGCAGCACTGTGAGCAGCACGGGAGCATGGCCGCGGGAGGTGGGAGGGGCTGCCCCGGGGGTCAGTTGGTGAGATGGAGGAGAGAGAAGAGGGAGGCGTCCATGTGGTCAGCACTGTCTGTGGTGCCCGCTGGAGGGATTGAGGCGGAGAGACCAGGTAGAACAGCGGGTCTCACAAGAGTCATGAAGGAACGTGGACGCCCTATAAACAGGAGAAAGCCAGTGGGGAGCTGCTGGGTGGGTGATGGTGGGGCTGGTGGGCAAGGCAGTGAGAGGGCGGAGAAGAGGCCTTGGGGCCCGGATCCTTCACAGTGTAACCTACAGGAACTCACTTTTCAGATCACAAACAACATCGACCCTGTGGGGCGGATCCAGATGCGCACAAGGAGAACGCTGCGGGGGCACCTGGCCAAAATTTATGCCATGCACTGGGGGACGGATTCCAGGTGAGTATGATGTGAGCACTAGTGCCTTGGACGTCCGGCACCGTCTGGTTTCTAGGGGAAGTTCACCTCGATGCATTTGCTGTGGTTTGTAAGGAAAAAGTGAGGCATTGTCTCAGGTGTCTGGGCGGGCCAGGTGTGGGCTCATAAGTGCACACTCCCCTTTGGATCTCCACCTGCCCAGGCCTGTTTCTGCACCGCTCTCGGCAGTTCCTGTCAGCACTGATCTTTCTTTTTCCCTTAACTTTGTTTCTCCCAGATCCAGGCCCAGTGCCTGTGTGACCCTGGGGACGTCTCCTAGCATCTCTGCCGTGGCTCCTCATCCTTTCAGCCTATTCCTCGTGGCTTCTTGGCTGATGCACATGGTGTCAGTGCCCTGGTTCAGACTGGGAGGATTGAGTGCCTTGACCTTAGAACAGTGGCTCGTGGTCCTAAGTGCTGTGCAGGGGCTGCTGCTGCTTCCTCCTGGAGTCCACACCTCACAGCGAGAATGCGTCTCAGCTGCTGTCCCCACTCTCCCCGGGCCCACCTGCCCCACCTCCCTGTGTCCACCATTCAGCAGACTTCCCATTATGGCTCATTGCTTCTCCTTTAAATCCTGCCCCTATTCAGACTTCTTGCCTCTTGCCTTGTCTTCAGGTGAGCCCCGCCCTCCCCTCGCCCCCCCATCACTCTCACCCTGCAGCATCAAGACCCAGTCTGTCCAGCCCTCTTTAAGAGGCTGCCTTTTCCACCCAGACAACTGAAGAACCTGCTGGGTGGCTTTGTGACTAGAACGAATTCTTTCGAATGAATACCTAACGTGATTCTTCAGATGGCTTTCTTTAGGGAGCATATTTTTGGATATTAAATTGTCAGGAATTTTCAACTCGGTTTTCTCTTTGTTCATAAAACTGCTTTTTAGAGTACAAACAACTTTAGAACCAAAGATTCTATCTTTATTTCTGTGCAGTATCCCATATGATTTCAAATGCAGATGAGGATGACTTAGACCATTTCAGTGATGCTGCCAATCCGAAAGAGGGAAAGAGGGAAAAGAAGGAAAATGCCCTTATTAGTCAACCCACCTTAGAATTGTAATCAAAAGTAGCCATTGACCAAACAGTACATGACCTCTGGGTCTTTACCTCCGTCTGCAGGAGCAGCAGTGTCCTGTCAGCTGGGACATTTGTAGCCAGGCCGCACTCCCCTCGGCTCTCTGAGCACAGTGCTCTCCCCAGCAGCCAGCCTCTGCCCGCTGGTCCGGAGGCTTCTCTCAGCTGGCCGTCACCTGGGCCCTGAAGGGTGACCGGGAGCTACAGCTGGGCTGCAGGCAGCTGTGTTCCTGGAAGGAAGGTGGATGTGTGGAGGGCAGTGGACATGAGGCAGGGGCACGGGAGGAGCTGAGGGCAGGTGGGGCCAGATCATCCAGGCTCTGATCACCACAGGCGAGGCCTTACGTTCAGCCTGGGGTTCAGATGCAGGTTGTGCTATGAAGCCCCGGGGCTGGGAGGGCTATGACAGGGCAAACCAAATTCAGGGTCGTGGTCACCCCTAAAGAAGCGGTGATGTGGGGGCCCCGTGGGGGTGGGGTTGGTTGGGTTGGTCTCATTGTCTTTCTTGGGCATTTGTTTGTAGCTGCTCTTTAAACTGGGCAGTTTAGCTCTTAACACCTCTGTATATGTGGGCCCTATTTCACAGTCATAGACACAAGAACAAAAAATGATATTAAGAATCACCTGTTACTCAGAGCATTTCAGAGATTGTTTTTTCTAGAAAGTCTAAAATAGTTTTTTTAGAATTTTGGACATACATTTTGCTCACATCATCTTGGTGTTTTCTGCCTTCACCAGCACAGTGATCATACAGGGTTTTCTCCTGACCCTGGCTGTGGTCCATGGATACTCGCACAAGGGCGCTGGTGGCTGCAGGAGAGGCTCAGTGAGAGCTTGGTCTCCACATCAATAACGTGTGTCAACAGAGTGGAACAGACTTACACTCACATCCCACTTTGTGTGCCCTTCAGAGTCCCTCTCGGCCACCTGACTGCATGCTAGGCTTTCCCCACTTCCTCAGGTCTGCTGAAGTCTTTTTGTAATTGAGAGTGAGCCCCCACGAACCCAGCAAGGCCCCAGAGTCTTCATCCTCTGAGTAATAAAGGCCTGAGCCGTTGGGTTGTGGCCCTTGGCCTCTGTTTGGTGTTGAGGCCCTTGCTTCCTTCTGGGCTCCTCTTTCCTCCGTGTCAGGGCAAGTGGCACCTCCTAGTGACTGACCACTGCTTGGCAGAAGGCTCTCAGAGGCACAGGAACCCTGGTCAGCAGCAGTTGTCCCGTTGGGATTACGAGGTGTCTTCTCTCACCTTCGGGAGGATCAGCGGGCATTAGCGTTTCCCTAAGTCAGGCAAGTCAGCAGGTACTAAGCTTCCTGAGCGGGAGACCTTCCTGAAGGTGACCCTCCCAGAGGGTGAGCAGCTCTACACTGGCCCTCGAGTCCGTGTAGAAGGGCAGACAGGCAGCATAGTGGACCCTACTCTGTTACCCAGAAATCATTGCATGCCCGAGACGTGTAATAGGACCAAGATGCAGGGATTTGCTTGAAGAGAGTGCTTCTGTAAAGGAATGGCCCTTGGTTGGCTCTGAGATGAGTTTTGTAGCACAACGCTGAGACTGTCTCTGTTCCCGGCTTCGCTCTTCGCTGGCTCCTTGTGAAGGATGTTCGTGCTGAGTGCATCAGAACCGTGTGTTCTGACTAAAGTGTCCCGGTTATCAGAGTGACTCGAGTTTTACCTCCAGGTTAGGATCAGTTCAAGAAGCCAAATATGCTCGTGGCTGAAATGGTTAAAACCTGTGTGTTTGGGTAAAATCGTTAAAGTTAAAACTTTGTCATCATTCACCGCACTGACGCCTATCTGCGTAGCGCGAGTCGAGCTTGTTGCCACCGTCGGAAACGGCAGTTCCTGGGATGTCTTAGGAAGAGCTTTGGGCCCCTTGCTCGCTTGCCCATGAAATCCCTTTGCCTCTTGGTCATGCTTCCCTTGGACACTGTCCTGTCTCTGTTCTACAAAGATAGAGCACCTCTTCAACATACGGATGTCAAACTGATCACGCTTGCCCAGAACAAGAAAATAGGAAAACATTCGTGACAATTGGTAGTTTCTCCTGCCGGACCAGGCACAGTTCCGCTGTTGCCTGTCATCACCTTGCAGAGCAGTTGGGATGTGGTCCCTGAATGTCTCTCAGGGACCTGAATTCCAGTTGCAGCTCAGTCTGGGAAGTTCTCACGGGCTTTTGTAGTGTGTGAGAAACATCTCATAAATTTGGAATATGGAAGGGATTATTTCCTTGTGTCTAGGCTTCCCCTGTACTACAGTAGAACAGAGAATAGGAAGCTACATGGTTTCTACCACCTTTGGCTCTTGAAAAACCTGTGTGGCTGACACTTGATTTATAAAGAACAGAAACCAAACGGAAGCAGTAATAAGTGGTCTGCTCTCCTAGCTGACCGGGGCCGTGGCCTGGTGGTCTTGTCCTCCTGAGAAGCCAGGCCCTTGAATCCCGGCTTCTGTCTGTGGGAGCATTTTCTGTAGTGTTATCACAGCTGGTCTGATCGTGAAACTTCCTCTGGACTTGTCAGTCAGTGTGCTCTATCTGCAGCTCCGCCGCCCTGACACACGGAGCCGCTGCTTCAGCCCAGTGTGGCTGTGGGCCTGACAGTCTTGCTCTGGTCTTCCTTGCAGGCTTCTCGTCAGTGCCTCGCAGGACGGCAAGCTCATCATCTGGGATAGCTACACCACAAACAAGGTAGGAGCGGCAAACCCTTCCCTGAACTGGCCCAATTCACTCACGCAAAACACACAGCTCAGGACGGGTGCGGGCCACGGGGAGTTTGGGTTTGGGTATGAAGTTCTCGGTCTGCTAGAAGCCGAGTCGCATGGCTGGCCCACATTACTAGTCTCTTGCTGTCCCAGGCACAGCTCTTCCGTGGTTTGTCATTACGTCACAGAGCAGGTGGGACGTGGTGACTCCTTAATGTGTACAGACCTAGATTCCAGTTTTAGCTCAGTCTTGGGAATTTCACATTTTGTTTAAAAGTATAGAAATTTTAGCCCTGGCCAGTTTGGCTCAGCGGTTGGTGTTGGCCTGCAGACCAGAGAATCCCGGGCTCGGTTCCCGCTAAGGGCACGTACCTCTGTTGCAGTTTGTCCCTGGCCCTGGTTAGGGTCGTGTGGGTGGCAGCCACTCGATGTATCTCTCTCACATCGATGTCTCTCTTTCTCTCTCTCTCCCTCCCACTCTATCTGAACAAAAAGTGAAAAAATGTCCTCAGGTGAGGATAAAAAAACTCAAAAACAAAAAAAAACCTGTAGGGTAAGTTGTTACACAGCATAGGGTTTTTCATTAAATTACTACTTTAGCTGACTGGCCACACCTATGAAGTATTTTCATAGTAATTCCAGTAGCTGATGTTTTTGAACTTGAGCGTGTTTGCATCTCTGTGTTCTGTTGCCTAGGTCCACGCCATCCCTCTGCGTTCCTCGTGGGTCATGACCTGTGCGTATGCCCCTTCCGGGAACTATGTGGCCTGCGGTGGCCTGGACAACATCTGCTCCATTTACAATCTGAAAACTCGCGAGGGGAATGTTCGTGTGAGTCGTGAGCTGGCCGGACACACAGGTACAGTCCTCAGCAGCAACCTTTCAGCTGGGTCCGCTGAGTGCCTGGCGTATGTTTTGTGTGTCCTCGCCTCTGCTTGGTGAGAGCGATGCGATGGCGGGAAGAAACCTTCAGATTTAAGTCCCTGTGGCGTCCCCTTTTCAAGGTTCTCAGACATGTGATGCAGGCCACTCCCTTTCAGTCTGTGTCTGCTTCTAAGTCATCTTCCACTTGGGCACCTTTCCACAAGGGTTTGCAGTCTGGACACACGTGTGTATACCTGCACTGTGTGTGTACATGCGTGTATGCACACAGACGCACAGGCATCACTGATGACCCTCACTGCGTCCCACGTGTGTGCACAGCACTCTTGATGCACAGGACACAGCGCCATGGCCACTGGAGTGTGGGCGGAGAAGAGCGGCTCTCCTTCCGCGTTGGATGGGACGTGACTTTCCGAGCTCAGCTTGCTTGTGGCAGTTGTGACAGAAAGCACAGTGCTTCTGAAAAGGCCTTGATCTAGTGCTTCAGTTCGACAGCTGTTTTCTCCGTCCTGAGAACAACAGCCCAGGAGGCTTGCCTGCTTCACGTGCAGCGAGAAATGATCGCAACTTGTGGAGTCAGACAGCCCATTAGGTTAATGTCAGCTGGTTGAGAGCATATCCTTGGTCCTTTTAAATGCATTATGTTCAGCCCTGGCCAGTTTGGTTAAGCAATTAGAGTGTCGGCCCTTGGACCAGAGAGTCACGGGTTCAATTACAGTCAAAGGCATGTACCTCGGTTGTGCTTCAGCCCCCAGCCCTGGTCAGGGTTGTGCAGGAGGCAACCAATCGATGTGTCCATCTCACATCAATGTTTCTCTCTCTCTCTCTCTCCCCCCCCCCCCCATCTGAAGATAAATGGGAAAATACCCTTGGTTGAGGATTAAAAACAACAACAACACTATGTTCAGAGAACATAGTCTGTGTTCTTTTTTTAAAATATGTTTTTATTGATTTTTTTTTTAGAGAGAGAGGAAGGGGGAGAGAGATAGAAACATCGATGTGAGAGAGAACATTGATTGGCCGCCTCCTGCATGTCCCCTACTGGGGATTGCACCCAAAATCCGGGCACATGCCCTGACTAGGAATCGAACCAGGACCTCTCCGACCATGGGATGGCGCTCCATCCACTGAGTCACACCAGCTGGGCGAGACTCAGTTCTAGCGGAGCAGGTAGTCGTCCACGGCAGCCACGTCCATGCACTGGACCAGGCTACACTGTGTGCTGGGCAACTCGGGTGCTGATTGGAGCAAGGCTGCCACTGCTCAGATCTGAGAGCGGGGTCTGCACACCTGGGGGTGGGTTGATCTATTGCTCCCTCTAATTCTATCAGTCTTTGCTTCATCTGTTTCAAGCTCTGTTGGTAAAAGTATATACGTTCATGGTGTCTGACTCTTCCTGGTGAACTGACCTCTATCACGGTGAGACGCTTCCTGTGGTCTGATGTCTGCGTCGTCACCCAGTCCTCCTGTGCATGTGGTTTGTGTGGAGTCTGCTCTCATCCATCTTCCTTCCCACTTGACTGTCGTGAACAGAGCCCCTTACAGGCAGTGTTTTGGGGCCCATGCTTTCTGCCGGCTACCAGTCCCAGCCTTTGCGTGCTGCTGAGGCCTCTCCGCGCCATGTGATGCTGGTGCCACTGCGCTTGCTCCCTCACTGCCCACCCGCCCTCCTGTCTGCCCTCTCCTGGAGGGGCTTGATTTTCCACAGTTCTCTTTTACTGTGCTGGCTTTTTTGGTTACCTCCTTCCATTATGTTTTAGTGGTTTTTGTAGGGATTACAGTGTACATGTATAATTTTTCATGGTCCATTCAGGGTTGGTGTTGTATCAGTTCGAGGAAATGCAGGCCCCTTGCAGCCTTACAGGCCCATTCCCCATGCTCTGATGTTCTCACAGGCACCGCATCAGCGTGTTATAGCCCACAGCACACTGTTACGTTACTTTCCTTTCAACGTTCTTAGACGCTTGGAGAAATTTTAATAGTCTTTACGTCTACTCAGATGTTGGCCCTTTCTGGTGCTCCTCGTTCCTTCCTGAAGGTAAGAGTTCCTGGGTCCCTTCAGCGCGCTGAGCAGGCCTGCAGTCAGCCTGCCTTGGGGCCAGGGCTCCTCTCTTCTCCCACCCCCTGCTGCTGCTGGCTGGTCATTCACACTTGTCTTTGGTGTCCAGCTGTTCTGTTTCTAATGCTGGAATTTCTGTGTGTGTTTTTTTTTTTTAATCCTTACCCAAGGACATTTTTCAATATTTTATTCAGATAGAGTGGGAGGGAGAGGGAAAGAGAGAGAAACATTGCCGTGAAAGGGACACATCAAGTGGTTGCCATCCGCACGACCAACCAGGGCCGGGGACAAACTGCAACCGAGGTACATGCCCTTAGTGGGAACCGAACCCGAGTCTCTCTGCTCCGCAGGCCGACGCTCTAACCGCTGAGCCAAACCGGCCAGGTCTTACCCAAGGATATCTTTCCATTTCTGTTCAGAGAGAGAGAGAGAAATATCGATGTGAAAGAGACATATATAAATATATTTTTATCCTCACTTGGGGACATGTTCAGATAGAGTGGGAGGGTGGGGGGGTGGGAAATATTGGCGTGAAAGGGACACGTCAAGGGGCTGCCTCCTTCACGACCCCAACAAGGGCCGGAGATGAATCGCAACCGAGGTGCATGTTTCTGACCGGAATTGAACCTGCAACCTATTGATCTGCAGACCAAAGGCACTCTAACCATTGAGCCAAACTAGCCAGGGATAGAGACATATTGATCGGTTGCTCCCTACATGTCCTCAACCAGGGCTGGGGACCAAACGGAAACCGAGGTACGTGCCCTTGATCAGAATCAAACCCTTGACCCTTTGGCCTGTTGGTTGATGCTCTAACTGCTGAGCCAAATCAACCAGGGCCTGTTTTCTTTTTAAATAATATTTTTGATTTTTCTGTTGAGATTTCCTGACTTAGTTTGTTACGAGCATATTTTGTGTCCTTGAGCATGGTTCTTAGAGCTTCCCTGAAGGTTCTTGTCTGCCAGTTCTAGCAGCTGACCCCCTTGGTGTTATTTTCTCTCGAATATGGGTAACATGTTCCTGCTTCTTTCTTCCCTTTCCCTTTCCCTTTCTCTTCCCCTCCCCTTCTTCCTCCCTCCCTCCCTCCCTCCCTCCCCCCTCCCTCCCTCCCTCTCTCCCTCCCTCTCTCCCTCCCTCCCTCCCTTCCTCCCTTCCTCCCTTCCTCCCTTCCTGATTTTAGAGGGAGAGGGAGAGAATGATAGAAACATTGATGAGAGAAAACATTGATTGGCTGCCTCCTGCATGCCCCTCGCTGGGGATCAGGCTAACAACCTGCGCATGTGCCCTGACCAGGAATCGAACTGAGCCACACCGGCTGGGCCATATTCCTATTTCTTAGTCCATCTAGTGATTTGGAATTGTGCCCTGGCCATTGTGGTGTTGTGTGGCAGATTGGACTCTGCTGTGTTCCTCAGAAATACTGATACTTTGCTCCGTCAGGTGGCAACAGAAACCTGTTTCGTTCTGTTCTAATCTGAGGGGCTGGGCCTGCTCGCTGCCTGCGGTGCAGGTGGGAGCCTGGTGTCTGTGCAGTCAGGGCGTCTCCTGTGGCTTCCCCTTTCACTTGCCGCTGTGGCTGCCAGAAGTCTGTCCGCTGGCTTTTCAAAGTCAGGCCACAGTTCCGTCCGCCCGGTAGGGCAGGGTGGTGGTTGCAGATGGGCCTGCCCCCAGGCAGCACTGTGGAGACAAGCTCTCCCCCAGCCAGCTACTGGCAGCTGTCTGCTGCTTCCAGTGCTTTGCCCTGGACCAGAGCTCGTAGTCATTTGTGGGAGCAGGCTGCCCTTGTGGAGACGAGCCCCTCCCCCTCCCGGGGCCTGTCCCTGAAACTCAGGGGCTCCAGTGCCCGCACTGCATGAACCCTCTGTGCACAGCACACGAGCTCACGAGACTTGAAAGACATGTTCTGACGTTTCTTAGTCTTTACAGTCGGACTCAGTGCACTGGGTTCTATTGTGATGAAAGGCTTTTGGATCTGTTAGCACTGTTTTTTGAAACAAAAAATAAAACTGGCTATTAGAGGGAATGTTTTAGAAATTTTGTTTCCTTCACCTGTTATGAAATTTTACTTCTTGATAGTTGAATTTTTTTTAAGCAATTTATTTTTAAAATTTTTTACTTACTGATTTGAGAGAGAGAAACACATCATTTGTTGTTCCCCTTATTCACGTGTTGCTTAGTTGGTTCTTATCTGTGCCCTGACTCAGGGTGGAGCCCTCAACCTTGGCATATCAGGACGATGCTCTAACCAACTGAGCTACCCAGCCAGGGCCTGAATGTTTTTTTTTTTACAAACTATTGACCTCTTAAGAGTGTTTGTGACTTTTTCTTCAGATACAATACTTAATTTTCCGCTTCAAGTCAATAAAGGTTAAAATTTGATAAACTTTACAACAGTCCCACTTTCGTCAGGGGACAAAGGTGTAAACAGCCAGCAGGTTCAGCGAGTTTCCTCCTGAGCATCTGTATGACTTGTGCCTTTTCTCTTGGGCCTGAGCGGGAAGTGGAGAGCCCTTTGTAAGTCGTGGCTAGGAAACTTTCCTGCACAGTCTTAGAAACTTGTTTGCACAGTGGAGCCGTCTGCAGTGCATTCTGGACAGGCACCTGCGTCCTCCATGCTGACGGCACCGGGTGGAGCGTCGCGTGGGCCTCAGGAGCGAGCGTCCTGGTGACCAGTGTGTATTGCTGTCGTTTCCGTGAAATGTGAGGCCCACAGAACAAATGGAAGCTGCTTCTCAGGCTTTGGAGACTCTTCAGCGGCCCACCTCAGAGATAGATGCTGCAGTCTCTGTGCCAGGCCACAGGGTAAAGCAAGTGTCATGGGAAAGCAAGTTGGAATCTTTCTGCTGGTGGAGAGTCTGACTTTCAATTTGTAAAAAACAAACAAAAAAGACAACATCTGTGCAGCACAGGGAAGCCCG